GAAACGCGAAAGTATTATACTTCCACTTTACGCCGGTCTTCTGCGAGATCGTGGTACTTACCCGGATGGACCTGCCCATTCGTGCAACAGTCGAGGCTGCTGCGTGGCCCTACCACCATTGAATATTTGTATTTTCTATGAAGATAACAAGTTTCCTCGCGATGTTTTCCATGTCTTCTGACCAAATGATAATTCAGCATCTTAAATTGCAATCAACTATTGAATTCAGATATAATTGAAATCAGATCGCGCGAGTATACTAAGTTGAATGCAAGCACCGGGAAACCAAAATAAAGGCTTCATGCTTTTAAATGACTCTACAATGATGTTGATCTGCAAAACTTTTAACATTACCCAACTGTGGTAGGGCCACGCAACATTCTCAGCTGTTGCACGAATGGGTAGGTCTGCCCGGGTAAGTACCACGACCTCACAGAAGACCGGCGTAAAGTAAGAAGTGTTACACTTCTGCGTTTCGTCTGGTGAGCCGGGGCCCACTTTATCAAAAGGTGGCAACGCATTTGCAACCCTATGGGTGTTGCAACTATTAATGGGGCCACACAACAATCTTAGCTGTTGCACGAATGGGCGCTCCGGGGAAGTACCAAAACCTTGTACCGGCTTGAAGTAGAAGTATGATACTTGTACTATTATACTGCGTTTCGTCTGGTGAGTGAGGTAACCAGGGCCCACTTCATTAAAAGATATTAAGAAGTAGGAACGCATCTGCAACCCTACATGTGTTGCAAATGGCCGTGGGTGGTGGTTATCACTTAATATCATGTGAAACGCCAGCATGTTTGCCACTCACTTTCTCACATAAAAAACCCAAATCGAAACCACTCCACAATATCACACTCGTCCAAAAACTGATGATAAACTTTCTAATAATAAACGCACTCGGAATCCCGTAAAGTCTTCGGCCCTAACCTTCTATTCATCCGTAATTGATCGTTACGTCACGGTCGCTTCGAATTGTTTCTGATGACGTCATTATCACGCAAATTTCACTGGCTTGCCGGAGCACTTTGTTTTTTATAGGTGAAGAGGTCAGAAAACAGTCCACGGTATTTCCCGTGCACGTTTGTTTGCCAATTTAAACACAATAGCTTCTCAGAATAAAATTTTTGCAGTGCTAATCTCTGCAATTAAGATAAAACCTTAAAATTTGCAGAAAGTAATTGACGAAAAGTCTTTGGCATTGCTTATAATTAAAGAAAACAATGTAGATATATACGTTAAGGTTTCCGTCGGTGTGGCAATAAGCCGCTTTAGCTATAATAAGCGAATTTAGCTCGTGGACAAGGCGTTTGGGCGCGAACCCAAAAAACGTGGGTTCGATTCCGGCAGTGGCGATAAACATTCGCCCATATTTTCTACAAAGTTTAACATTTGCTGCTTAATAAAGAGAATATGTGGCGACGTTGACAAGCAAATTGTTTATTTATTTAATTCTTACGGTCGAAATAGAGGAATTCCAAGAATAAATTTAGCTCCAACAAAGGTTCTAGAACTTCAAAGAAAACGATGTTACACAGCTTTTAGTTTTAGAATGGTGATAATCACAGCAAGTTTAGTTGCGATGTTAATAGCCTTAATGTAAATCAGCGCTCGCTGACTCTCGTTTCTGTTTATTGTTGTTTGGTTGTTACAGTGATAGCTGTGATAGATCAATGTCTCTGTGGTCGCTTTTAATTCAATATACTTGAGCTACCTGAGTTAGATCCCGTTGCCGGCACCCGGGTTGTCCTACACTGCGGAGGATTCATGTAAATGCGTTGATTACATTTACATGAAACATGAATGTAAGGACTCAATAACGATGTTAATTTTACACAGTTTTTGAAGTTAATTTAATTCCTCCTTCATTAATAAACCATAAAATATACAAGATCCGTGCATATTTATTGATTATTGAGTACCAGTTGTGCCCGCGATTTTAATATAAAAGTAAAATATAAGAAGTTATATATAAGAAGTTAAATATAAAAGTAATTTTTTTTTTAATTAAAGTAGTCTAATTAGATAGTATATATTGGTCTGCTGCTGATGTAATAAGAGTATATATTGGTCTGCTGCTGATGTAATAAGGAGTACCTTATTACATCAGCAGCACACCAATATATATTTTTTAATAACATTTTTTTGGTATTTGTACCGTATACATAAATATTCATTTAGTAATAAGCGGTTATTTTAATATTACAAACAGACTACTAAAATTTTATTTATCTGTATTGATATAGTAGTTTCAAAATTGAAGCCACCATGTGGTCGACGTATCAGTCGATCCAATGCAACTTTCAAAACCTTTATTACAAGACACACACTGTCCAAATGAGACGTTTTATCCATATGACCTTCTGATTAAGGAAAATAACAGAAGCACTGTTGGTTGTACTGTACAAACGGGCCCGGTTGATTGGCTTAGGGTCCTTGTGAAGCGGTCTCTATTTGTGCCAAAGGAGGTCACAGGTTGAATAGCAGTGAGTGCTCCTCGAATTGCCCGCGCCGAGCGGTAATTGGACATGCAGGGTTCGATAGCATCTCACACGTCGCCGAAGAGATTGAATGACGTAGTGGCACCGTATACGCGAGGATTGTGGATATTCCCGCCTTTACAACAAGCTTATACAATAGTTGGGATCGTGTGATGCTATTAAGCTAATTTTTTTTTAAATGACACTCTTCTATGTCAAAATTTGTGTTAACTGTAAAAGGATAGCAATTTATAAGTACATGAGCAAATATCTCATTTACTATAGCTTCACGTCATGGAGATGAAGATGCTAAGATGGATGTGCGGCGTCACGTGTGCTGACCGCATACGCAACACATTCATTCGAGGCAGTCTCGGGGTCCGTGAAGTAGCGGATAAGGTCCAAGAGCGGCGCCTCAGACGGTATAGCCATGTCGCACGACGGTCGGAAAAATATGTCCGAAGGAGGTGCCTTGATATGCCTGTCCCGGGAGCTAGACCTCCTGGCCGCCCAAGGAAGCGATGGCTAGACGTTGTGAATCAGGACTTGAAAGCCAATGGACTGACCCATGAGGATGTCGGAGATCGGGCAAAGTGGAGGAGATTAAGCAGGAAAGCAGACCCCGGCAATTGCTGGGATAAATGCTAGGTAGAAGATGACTATACATTGCCATCCTATTGGAGCAAAATACATATATTACATGTACGTATTTGCCCCAATGGGCTTTACATGTTTAAATTTCATTTTACTAAGAAATCTATAAAATCTATTTTGTACCAGTGTTTCGTATTTGAATATTGTAAAGGTTGTGATTGATTCTGATACTATGTTAAATTTGTGTAGCAAGTAATATCAATAATAAGTTAATTAGGTTTCAACGCATCTGCAACCAAACGGGTGTTGCAAATTTCTATCGGTAGCGGTCATCACTTAACATCAGGTGAACCGTGTGTTCGCCTAGCCAACTTCTCACATAAAAAAATTAATATCACATCTAATTCACGCCAACCCTCTCGCAATTCCCAGTTCATTTAATCGCGTTCTATAGAAGGAATAAAACATAATCCCTAATTGGTTAAATGAATAATTCATGGTTGTAATATTTGGCGAATTCAATCGCTTTTAATTTTGTTTTTTATCTCCTGACGTTTTAATTCCCATGAAAGCGAGCAAACAATACTTCATGAAAGGTTCAATGACTTGCTCTAAACTAGCAAGTCCCATCATTTCTGCACATTTTGTACAAATGTTTGTTAAACATCATCACTTCAGCCTGCTGAAAATGAGCCTCCCCCACTTCTCGCACATTGCACTGTTCGTTATTCCACCAAGTGACAGGTCGTCCTACACTGCGATGGCCAATACGAAGCTGGTCACTCGAGAAACTTTGTACCCTATCGGTCAACGTACATGCGAGTATTTTGGCCAGCTTATTGCCAATACGGTTACCCGTCTTCTGAGCTATGCCGGTTAATTTTAAGCAAATTCATATTTTAATCGTCTAAAAGAAGTAGACAAAAATACTATTACAGAATACAGATGATTGCTTCGGCGTGGTCAGCCTATCGCTGAGGTCACCGTAGTCAGGGCCCCTGCGCCCAGCTCTCAGCTAATCCACCGACAATTTAATTGGGCTCACCTAAGTAGGTTAAGTTTTTAAGGTTAAGTTTCTTATTTGTATTCCTCTGACATCGGTGCAATCCAGCGAAGTTATAAATAGAGAAGGATTGCATACCAGGCAAATCATCAATCAAAACAAACGCAAATCGCGTGGGACGCGATTTGCGTGCAATTTTTGCGTTTGATCGATTTCACTAGTTTCAGTCGATTGTTTATCCTAGTTTCTTTTCTCCGGAGATTCTAAGCGTTCCCTGCCGATAACTGTTTGATTTGGAATCGTTTCTATTCGATTTCGTTGTTGTCTCGGAAAATTCAATTAGCACTTACCCACCATCGAATTCGTTTCATGACGAGGTTTCTTCTTTCTCTTTGTCTGATTACAAATATACAGATTATGAGCAAAAATCTCGTATAAGTTTTCAGCACCAGTGAAGATCGTCAATTGTAGATTGTTCGACATTTAATTTGTTTCTTCGACATTTAATCTAACTGGGTAAAATTCATCGTAAATACAGAATGCGTGTACGTAATAAAAATGCATTCGAGTGGTATATATACCATAAGCAATATATTATTAATATATAATTATAATTTAGCAATATATTTTATATATTGTATTTTATATTCGACGAGAAAATGTAACTAGCGTTCTTGGCACAATGCAGCGTGGATAGATTTAATCTGAAAACTTAAAAAATATCTCGGCAGTTAAACACTAGTTAAGCGAAAGCTTGTTCCTTTGTTCCTTTGTCTAGATACGGTATCACAATTAGCACCTGTTCCCGTGAACATTGTTCAATCAGCTGACGTCCGCGCTTCCATTGTTACAGTCAATGAAGATGGTCGATTGCTGAGTCGCCGAGGTGGACTGGGGCGCGGCGCTAAATTCAAACCTGCAGCATGACGAAAAAGTTCGAATTCAACTGGCAGATCCCGGTGCCGGAGCCGCTACTTCAAGTGAGTAACGTTGCATGTCATACTACGACGGACGCTTTAGATAATGGCTCAAAACTTTTTCTAAGAAAGCTTTTATGTACTGTTAATTCCTTTTTTTTCTTGGTATGGGGGAAATCTTCGGAAGATACCATGTTACATGTACATGACAGAGTTATGTGGGCTTCTTACCCACTAAAATCTCCCCCCCAAAGTTGTCAAATTTGGGATATGAGATCTAAAAAATATATACGCGTTCCGGTGAAAAAAAATAGCACAACACCACTGACTGTAAATGTTAGTTCCTAGTGGCCATGACGTCGGGAGTGCGAATCAAATTACCGGTGGTAGGGCCACGCAGCAGCCTCGGCTGTTGCACGAATGGGCAGTACCACGGCCTCACAGAATCCAGAAGACCGGCGTAAAGTATATGATAATACTTTCGCGTTTCGTCTGTTGAGTGAGGTGGCCGGAGCCCAATTTTCAAAAGGTTGTCAACGCATCTGCAACCCTCGGGTGTGGCAGATGTCCATGGGCGGCGGTATTCACTTAACATCAAGTGAACCTTCTGCTCACTTGGCAACTTATCACATAAAAAAAACGCAACTACAAATCGTATTGACGCGGATTAAGGATTTTTCAATACCTTACAAATGTCTCAATTGTCTCTACTTTTACTGTGGATAACTTAGTATCAATAAAATACTAAAATAGATCTTCCTGGTCGCCGTGCTTGTCGGAACTAACTACCCAGCCCCATCCGCACAATCCATACTGTCTTTCAATCATCAGTCAGTACACATACTGCAGTAGTCGCTCAGCTTCTGTCATTGCATAGATGATTTCTGATTCAAATGAAAGTACTAAGACCTCACAGAAGACCATCGTGCACTAATAAGTGAAGCAACCGGGTCTGGAAACGTCTGGTAACTGCAACCTCAACTTGTTGTACCTAGATGTCAATGGCAAATCAAATCATCTAAATATAAACATCTATCGATAGCCATTTTTTAAATCTACCACCGCTCCGTAATGATGTTCCTCTAACGGAGAAGAAACAAGCGTAAGAAACTCCACTCCTTCGGTATCCTCTTTTTTGTCATCTTTTTTTCCTCAAAATATCATAATATTGCACAGCATATATTTAATTTTGCTTTAGAAAAAGCTTGGGAGCGATGATCTCATTCCCAGGGGCTATTATCAATATCATTTGTATTAATAATATCCCTTCCTTAAAAGTTTAAATGATCAGCGATAGTTAAGCGAACTTACCGTTCAATGTCGTGAGATCTTATATTTTTTTCTAATCCTATCCAATGTGTAAGAACACATAAATCCTTTGAGTGCCTTTCCAATTTACTTTCACAATTACGTTACAAAATCTGTTCTGGCTACCTCCTCGGGATAATCCGCCAACATAATACGTTAATTAGGGTTGCCATATTCATGTTCTGCAAGGGAATATATTAATTTGCTATTCGCTTGCCTTCGCGTCTCCCAATTAAACATCGTAATTAGGGACGTGTGAGATAATAAATAAAGCATAACCTCAATGGCCACTCTTTTTGTTGGTGCTTACGTCTAGAAGTATTCCTAGAAGTCATTATAGACAAGTCCGTGGGGAGTCGAAATTATTTTTAATAACTAAATAAAAAATAACAGCCATTTTACAGTGTTCGCATATTTTTTTCAATATTTGCAATATTTATGAAGTTATACTTGTTTTGGCGCGTTAATGGGGAGAAATGATGAGAGTAAATTTTTACGATGTGCGCGCACACCGTCACGTAAAACCGACACCCCGAAGTTAGCTAGACATCTACGTAAGTTTGCGTGAGAACTGAAAAAATTATTTTGTGATATTTAAATAAACTTTATTTAACTTGATAATGCGTTATAATAAAACTTTCAATGTAGGTATATAGATACCTTTTTTCTATTGTTAGTGTAGTTTTTTCTACAAACGTAGAATAAGGCGAAAGATAAAATTTCGAAAAGATTTTTATCTTCTAACATAAGTTACACACACACTTTTTTATTTTAAACACATTTATAAGTCATGTATTCATCTGTTAAGGATTTTATGTGGTCAGTGTTTTATTTTAAGTTTTACGGTCGGTCATATAAATGCGTATAAAGATGACATAACGTTGTTTATGGCATATCGCCCAACCTCCATCTCCATCGATTAATTCGTCTTGATTAAATATGGCTCCATCAATCCCTCCGAAATGGTTATTACCTCAAGCCCAGTCTGGTGCTAGCTCCACGCAATCGTAAACCTAATAACTGTGTTAAGTCGTAAAAATAAGGATTACAGTTATATCTGTATTTGTGCATACGTAGGGATTAAATTTCATCTCTACATTTTGAATAGGACTTAATAAAGTAAAATAAATATTTCGGGACATTTCTACACGTTATCTAGTCCCAAACTAAGCAAAGCTTGAATATATACTAACTAAATGCTAATCATACTTGAGCGTACTTATATTTTTATAAATTAATTCTTATTATGGATATATAGACACAAGAATCACTAGATGATCAATTTTTATATTAACAAAAAACAAAACCGACTTCGAATAGCCCTCTCTGTATTCATTTTATAAATGATTTTAAGAAGTTCCCAAGTGTCTCCGGAGCCCAAGATCCAATAACAATTAAATTAATATGCTACCACGTGGGAAGCACCAGCTTTCAGATAAGAGAAGTTCAGTCAGTAGAGTCCGAGGTAACAAAAATAAAAAAAAAAATGGAATCGAGACCGTTTTTGCAGTCGGTTGGAAAACGCTATATTCATCACAAAATATTTCTCCAGTAGCGGGGATCAGACCCACACCCTCTGGCGCTATGGATAGGTACGAACGTTATCCGTTACACCAATCATGTTTCATTTCTTTTGTAGAAATATTCTCCAATATAAGTAATTTAAGTAATACACCATGCTTCACTTATTCACATACATTTATTGATTCTTCACAATATTATTTCCGTGCTTCAAATCCAAGACACCTCTAGCCTCTTCGTACTATTCTTCTTCGTCTTTTATATCTGCTCTGGTCCTCCCTTCCCTGGACTTAATTTTCAATTTACCGTCTTATAGCCATAATATAATCAATAGCAAAGTCTATTTTTCGTATCTTTGAGGAGTTATTAAAGCATTAGCATATTTTTATAAACTATTTTCCATATTTAATAAAATAATGTTTTCTTTAAATAATTAAATCTCATTGTTCCTAAAGAAATTTATACACGACCTTACACTTTTATATTAATCATGTTTCATTCAATACATTTCTAATTTAAAGAAATAATTCCTTTCAATTCAGGCCTATTTCGAGCTTTAATATAGGCTTCAATTCGTTCACCCGTTCAAGAATTAAAACCTCTTCAAGAATTTCAATTTGTCCCATTCATAATTTTTGATTTAGTTTGAAATTCCATTAGATGGTGTGGACGGAAATCGAATGTCACTGACAAACCCAAAATGTGTAGTGAGTGTTCTCGAAGGTTCTTTTGTTCTTTGGTGGACTCTTAAGCGTTTGAAGTAAATTATCAATGGAGATAAACTTTGAACGTGGGATGTATTGCGAAAGTTACTCTTATTTAGTGCCCCGATATTTTTTTGTTTGCATTTTCAGCCCGTAGACCATACAAGGCAACACGTGGAACATGCTCCTATTGGCATTGACTAGGTTTTTTACGAGCGTCCTCCCGCCTGACGTCAACCCCCCTGGGAACAAACACCCAGATCCGAAACAGTTGTATGGGACACACAAATACTTGCCCAGTATGGAAATCGAAACCAAGCGCCGAAACCAATAACTCGGGCTCATCCTTTAAACTGCGACATAATATACTATATTTAAAGTTATATGAATTAATATAAAATTGCTATTACTATCGTTTATGGGCCTGACGTTTACATTATAAGGATAGCAAGCAGAAAATTGCCTGTCAGTGCAAGAAGAATACAGCAACAAAATCGTTTAGTAAGTATAATAAAACAGTATAACATAATCATCACAATGCTACGTTAGATACTATTAAATAAATCTAATGAAAAATAATCTCACGTCACATCATCTGAATCGGAATAAAAATGAAACTACTCCGAAATATCTCTGGTTTCCTTGCGATAATTCATCATTTTCGTTAAAAACAAAGATAAATAATCAAAGTAATCTCATCGCAGTCAGAATAAAAGTGAAATTACTCGAAGATGCCTCTTTTTTCAGGGTTATAATTCACCATTTTCGTTAAAAGCAATAATAATCAAAATAAATCGTATTATACGATTTTCAAGTTAACCTTTTTGCTATTATTGGGCAAAATAAAATGAAAATCATTAATCATTACCGTGGGAAAAACAATATGAAGGCTCTCCGTCACATAACCTCCGGCGATATTGAGGGGCTGTGGATACCATTACGAGGGGCCTTAATTAAATGTCTGGATCGACATTTTCGTTAGAGATTCGGGGAACGAGAAATTCGTATATTTTACGATACATAACGGTTTCTTGTGTTAACGCGACGAGTGTACTTGCTATGTATTATAATAGTTAAATGAAACAATATTAAGATATTTGCTTACCATCGTAATGGATGAATGCTTCGAAGTATTGGAAAGTTATTTAAATAGATTCAGTTTCCAAACGTTACAACATCTGTTAATTATAATAAACATGTGAGCCCGTCCTTATATAATTTGCTTTAATTCGTTATTCGAGCCGTGTTAGTTCAGTGCCGGGTACTTTATTTTAATATACTCAAGAACCAAGCTTCAAATCCCGATGCAGGTACCAATGAAATAGTTAATTGAAATTTTATGTGATGATTCAGCTCAACACGTGCTACACGGTGAAGGAAAACATCGTGAGGAAACCCGCATATTTTCGAGATGATAATAAAAAATATCCGAAGATATGTGAAGTCCGCCAGTACGCGGTGTGGTATCCTTGTGGACTATATTCTAATACTCTCTGTACAGAGGAGAACTTTGCGCATCAGTGGAACATA